TAAGTCTCATTCTAATTTAGCCTGGCCCGTTAGTTCGATATAAATTACCCTCTCAATGTTCCAACACAAATATCAAATCAATTGATATACACAAAATCTAGAATATAGTTATGCTAATGTATTTAAGATATATGAAATTCTTGTATCAAGCACAAGCATGCAAAATAAAATAAAAACTGCAAACAATCAGATTATGTTATAGTATGAAACAGTTAATAACCTGCAAGAGCAGAGTGAAAAGCGTCATTCCAAACCCAAACTGTTGGCATGTTTGATTGGGTGGATTAGAGCATGGGATTAGGATTATTAATCCGTGGGCCCCAATTATCCTATGTTTGTTTTAACATTTTTGGTTTAGGATTATTAATCCAATGGATAATTAATCCAACAAATTTGTTGGATTATTAGTAATGGGGTAGGGGTGAGATTATTAATTCAATGGATATTAATCCAATTAGATAGTAAATACCACACTAATTTAATAGGATTATTAATACTTCACTATTAATTTTGTGAATCAAACATGACCGGGTTTAGAGACACCCTTGGGCCATGTTTGTTTGGGTGGACATGAGCTTGGGATTGGACTAATAGTCCAATAAAATTATTAATCCGATGTTTGGTTAAACAATTGAAGTACGGATTAATTATTTTAAACTTGACTATTAGTTAAGATAGGATACATAATCTAACGGATTGGTTGTCCTAGGACTATTAGTCATGAGAATGCTAATCCAGTCCGCCCAAACAAACATGACATTGAAGAATTAATTCTTCCTAACATTCTCAGGTTTTTTATTGGGAAACTAATTTTGAGAACTTGACAATTCTTAGCAACAAAAGACAACTTATTTACCTCAAGACTAAGGTTCTTAGATTGGTTTACTAGAGTCTCTAGATGACGAAAAAAACTAGTATCACCCCAACTTGACTGAACTCTCGAAGGACATACACAGGAATATATATATTCCTATATAGGTCTGACAATCGACTTCTCTTCTTTCTAAGGTTCATGTTTTTAGGAGGTTCTAGGGGATGACTATAAGAGGTACTAGACCCAAATTGTCCTATCATTAGTATTTTATTAAGTTTTTCTTTTCCACTACATGGTCTTTTCATTAATTCTGCTTCGAGTTAGACTCAATACTTGTAAAGATATTTTAATAAAAATAATATTATATTTCATATATTCAATTTGTCAATTATCAAATTTATTTCAAATAATTATAAAAATATTAAATCATCTAATTATGTGACTTTATTTCAAAATTAATTCTGCAGTTTTATTATTTATTATGTTACCGTTTGGCTTTAAATAAGTTTATAAAACTCTTGTCCTGCCTTTTTCACTATATATATATTGCTCTCTTAGTATTATGAGATATAGAAGAACTAACGAATTATCTGTGCCTGAAGACACTCAAAACACAATTTAATACCAATTAAAATCAATCACTCTCATGCAATTGACCTACTCCGTCCTCTTTTTCTCTCAATTTATAATATATATTAAGTCAAATGGTCTTTTTAACCAAGAGCTTTGTTCACGGTTGGCCAAACGTAAAGTATAGTGGAATTGTTTTTAATTTTTTTTAAGCTTTTGTTTTGTTTTGTTTTGTTTTTTTGTTTCCTTTCATAAATCCTTTGAATTTTAACATAGCATTGTGGATTCAACTAGTGGATCTGAGAATAACGACGCTAATGGAATACTTATGTTATAGACTAAACGTTGATTTAAATATACATTTTTTAAAATATGTTTACAATTCTCTTCTCTATTATATTTTTATTCAAATAATTTACTTGTGTTTTTTTTACTTTTTTCTTTTTTGAACAGCTCGATTGAAGAACAAATTAAGGCTAATTTTTTATTAAGTTCTAGAAATAAATTTTGATCATTTGATAGTGTACAATTTTTTTTTTACTCATCTAAAATGAATTGTGGTTACATATAAATTGAGAGAGAAAGACGACAGGGTAGGTTAATTGCATGGGAATGATTGATTTTTAATTAGTGCCAAATTGTGTTATGAATATCTTCAGGTACGGTTAATTCGCTAGTACTACATATTAATCAAAATGTGCATTTTTTTCTTCTTTTTCTGAAAGTTCTATAAATATTAAACATTAATGCAAATTTTTTATTTAAAAGAATTAAATGTTAAGAAGTATACATATACAAATGTAAGTCCATCTAAATATTTAAAATTTTAAAATCTTAATATAAAAAGTAAAAATAAAAATTAGCCATATCTAACTTATCATACTTAGGCCAAGTTTGACTAATCTAAAAAAGTGCACTTATTTCATCTTTTTATCTTTTTTGGGTCACATCAATCAACATCTCCTCTCTATTTTTTCTACACATAATACAAAAAAAAAGTCAAAAAGTGCACTTATTTAGTCTTCCCAAACTTGGCCTAATCCATGTATAATTTGAAATTTAAAAATCTTTAAAAGAAAAGTTAAATTTAAAATGTAACTTTAGTCTTATATAATTTTAAAATTTTAAAGTATTTATTTCAATTTTGTTTTTTTGAAAACTAAAAAATAAATATGGCACCTAAAAAATTGTCAAAATATTTATGACACATTTATTAATAAAAAAGAAAATTTTGCATTGCACATGTAAAAAAATAAAATAAATACATGTGTAATGTATATTTTTTGTCGCATCCAAAAATGCATGCGAAAAAGAACCATCAATATAGAACAATAAATTATTATAGTCAACTCATTCAAATTTATATAAAATCTTACATTTTTATGCATAAAATAAGGAAAGAGAGGGAGAGAGATGATAAGTAAATTACAAATGGTTAGGAAAAGAAAATAAATAAAAGGAATACAAAAAAAAAATGGAAATAGAGGAAGATGTTAGGAAAGTGCTGAAAGTTCTTGCGGTAGAAAGTTTAATTTTGGTCAAGCAAATCAACCATTAATCTATCAAGCATAGCTCTTATGAGTGCAGGTCTGTCGGTGTATGCTGCTAATGGCCTTCTCACCAACTGATGTTGTGTGTTGCAGGTTTGATGTTGTAAGCTGCTACTGATGTTGTATGTTGACCTGATCTGGTGCAAGCAAATGGGTAGTTGGCTGGCGCTGGTCTGCATTTGGTGCCAACCTAGGAGTTCTGTTCTGTTTTTGGTGCTGGTCTGCAGCTGCTATCAATGCATGTTGCTGCTGTTTTGGAGTCTTAAGGTCTTGGAGCTGGTTTTGCACTGGTTTGTTTTGTGAGAGAAGTAGTGGAGGTGTGCTGTGATGGATTGCCCCCTTTTGCACTGGTTTATTCTGTTTTTTGCTATGATGCAAGGTTCTGAAAAGCGGTTGCGGTCGCCGTAAAGGTAGCGGTGACGCGGTTGCGGTTGCGGGGTGTAAAGGCCGTAGCGTAACGGTTGCGGTTACCGGAACTGTGAATTTTTTTATTTTTCGCACAATTTGCAAAAAACTTACCGATACGCATATTTTTTTTTAGAATCATATTTATTGGGTTTTAAAATAAATTTTGATAAATTTTTGATAATTTTTAAGTATGATCCAATATATTTCATATTTTTAAATCACTAGAAAATGTTTTTTTTTTACATTTTATTTTAATAATTAATGACTTTATATGTCATAAATTCATATTACACTTGTGGCAAAATTTTCTTTTATTGGACTTAGATGTATAAAATTGTTTTTAATTATTATACTTGTGGAGGCATATGTACATTTTAACTCAAATAGTTTTAGAAAAGTATGCATCCTTAATGGAAGAACTTGACAAAGTACATAACATCATAGCATAAATCATAAATAACAGAGAGTACATTTTACATAATGTTACTACTAAAATTACATAATGTCACCACCAAAATGAGTGACGTGGTGCATCTTGAGATTCAGATTGTTGAGCTTGATTGTTGCTGCTACCTTCACCCCACCAAAATGAGCGACGTGGTGCATCTTGGGAATCAGATTGTTGAGCTTGATTACTACTACCTTCACCCCATCCGGTAGGAAATATATAAGTAAATGTGCTCATCATGCCATCCTTTTTCTGTTTCGTGCATTGGGAGAGAAAATGGATACCTTCCCAGAAAAGGATCAACATACTCTTGTTGGGCGTGTTGATAATTTGGCAAACCGTATCCTACAAGACCATGCTGTTGAGGGGGCCAAGGATAATTTTGTTGAGGTGGGTAAGGATAGCTCTGGCTATCACTGCTATAAGATGGGTAAGGGTGATATGGATAACTATGGCTACTATCAGATGAATCAAGCTGTTGTTCTCTATTTCTTATTCTTCTTTCATTACGTGTATCACTACCACGAAACCTCATAGGTAGTTGGGGTAAAGGTGCAACAGGTTCTCCAATATCATAATGTTCCCCAACATTACATCCTCCAATAAAATCTTCACTTCCTGCACCAAAACTAGTACCATCACCACCATTGTCACCGCCACCACCACTACCGTCACCGTGAGAAGTGCCTTCACCATCACCATCATCACCTCCTCCATCAGATGGTGTTAAACCACCACTATTATCACTTTGAGTTGGAGTAGGAGTTGAGCTTTGAGAAGTGCGTCGAGCTTGATATCTATGGGTGCCACCACTATCGTTTCCATCGCTGCCATCGCCGTCATCGCCATTGCTGTCATTGCCACCACCACGATCATCATCTGAGACCAAATCTAGCCATTCAGAATTATCCATACCATCTAGTAAAGGATTTTCCCTTTCTTCTATCCATGGACTTATTGGATCATCTTCTTCAAATATGTAATCCAAGTTAATAGGATTAAAACTCCTATCAATCTCCTCTTGGCTGCTTCTTTTAATGTGTCTCAATTTTAATCTTATGTTGTAGGTGATGAAGACTAATCTTTGAATTTTCTTATATTTCAATCTATTCCTCGTCTTCGTATGGATGAGACTAAAAGTACTCCAATTACGTTCACAGTGAGATGATGTGGTGGTTTGACTTAATACTTTCACAGCTATTTTTTGAAGTTCAGGAGCACAACTGCCATGAATAATCCACCACTCAGCTGCACAAAATTGCATTACATTAGACATAAGTCAAAATATGATAAAAAATTATTTAAGTATTTATATATTGTAAATTTGTAATTTTGAAAATAAAACCTGGATTTGGTTGTTTCCATGCTCTTTGTGCTAAAGGAGTACCAAAAGTTTCCTGTTTATCTCGAAACGGCAACAACTACAATTTAGACAATCATTACAAGTAACATTTGCAAAAGTAGATTATTACTATGAAAATTTAAATAATTGGTACGTACTTGATTTGTTGCTTTCACTTGAGCATCCATATTAGGCTCCAGTCTGGTAATTACTTTTTTAAGTCCATCCATCACTTCTCTTATCATTTCATTGGATGAGGTAACACCATATTGGAATTGAGGATTTAAAAAATATCCTTCAAAAATAAGAAGGCAATTAATAATTGTAAATAAATATACATTTTATAATTGAAATCGTAACACTTACCAGCCACATGCAAATCTTGATGCAATTGAAAAGACCATCGAGTATCAATAATTTTCCAATACTCAGTGTAGTAGCGACAATCTCTTTTAATTGCCAACTTTGCTCTATCTATAGCTTCATATATAAAACCCATTGTTGGCTTCTCATCCCCATCAACCAACCTCAATACTCTAACTAGGGGCACATGAACTTTACAGAGCTCTGTTGCTTTCTGCCAGAACTCCTTTCCCAAAATAATTTTTTTCACATTGTAAGGCTGCCCAGTCTTTGCCTTTCCCCATCTAGAATTCTTCCACTCATCACTATTAAACATAGCTCTCAATTGTTGTTTATATCTAATAATACTCTCAATGGCAATAAAATTTGTAGCAAATCAAGTGATAGCAGGTCGAATCAATTCTCTACCTCCAGTGAATTTTCTCATTAAATCCAACACCCATCCACTATTATAAATGAAATCGGTGATGGTTTTACCATCTTCAATCACCTTTGCTACACTTTTCTTATTGGCTATGTCTTTTAGTATGAGATCGATACAATGTGCTGAAGAAGCTGTCCAATATAAATGTTTCCTTTTTCTCATTAACATTTTACCGGCAGCTTTCAATGCAGGTTCATTATCAGTTACCACTTGAACAACGTATTGTTCTCCAATTTCATCAACAACTTTGTCTAACAACCCAAAATAATATTCAGCAGTCCTACTAATAATATTAGAGGCATCAATCGATTTGTGAAATATAGTACCTCTATTGCAGTACACTAAGAAGTTGATGATGTACTGCCAAGTTAGACTGCTCCAACCATCACACATGATGGATACACCTCTCTCTGCCCAAATTCCCTTAAATGATGCTATCCATTCTGTCATTTCATCCATGCCCAAATATACTTCAGAAACTTCATAAGCACTAGGACCTTTTACTCCTGGCCCTACTTCAGCAGCAACATCAAGCATGGGTTGTGTATACTCTAAATCAACTGCATTGAATGGAATACGATTATAGAGTATAAACTTGGACACTGCCCGTCCTAATCTCTCTTTTAACTTCTGTAAATTCATTGTAGAGATTTTCCGTTGCTTTGTACTCTTGCTCTTTTGGAGTTCTACATCCATTGCTCTCAACCTTGTTTTAGGAGCATTGTGTTTAATCCAATTACGTCCACTCCCACCAGTTTCACGCACGGATTGTGATCGACGAAAAACATTAGCAATACCTGACCCTTTTAGCAATCTTTGACCACTACCCCCTGCACCAGAACTACCACCTGCATCATATTGTGATCCATGACTTGCAACACCTCGTCTAAATTTTTGCATTTCCTCTCATTGTTGTTGTGAACGAATACTTGCTTGTCTAGCCCTAGTTATCTCTGGATCAGAGTCAGAGTCATCATCTTGAAGATCTACAAAATCTCCCCCTTCATCCTCATCATAAAGATCATCTCCCCTAATATGTGTTTCCAATTCAACTTTTCTCTTTTGTTTGTCTGCTTTACTCATTTTCTTATTTTGTAAATGTTTCATCATTTCTTGCATCACGTCTCTACTAACATTAGGACAAGAATGCACTTGCCCCGTTTGAGGTGCTAAATGTTGTTTGAAACGCGTAATCCCACCTTTAATGTGATATCCACAAAATTTGCAAATAATATGATGCCTAGTGCCTTCAGCTTGAGTTCCAAATTTCCAACCAATATCATTACTTGGGGGGTTCATCATTGGCACCCTTTTGTCGTGGCATTTTTGAATTTGCATTCTGCATTACAAAAAATAAAAAATAAAAAAATTCAACCCCTATCTATTGTCACAACACATTACAATAACAAATTTCGTCATTAAAAAAAAAAAAATTATTGTCACAACACATTACAATAACAAAATAGAATTTCTTTATAATTAAATGTTAAATGAAATGATTATAAAAAAAATTCAACCACTATTTATACATTTGGATTTTACATGCTAATGTAATTAGGAATAAAGACATTTTTCATGGCATTGTTTGAGCTATTGTTTTTATTTTTTATTTTATTTTATTTTTTATTTATTTTATAGAAAGATATTTTTCTTACAAAAGAAAATTTGTGCCATCAAAATTGTTGTCACAACACATTACAATAACAAAATTAAAAAAAAAATATTTCAAATTAAATACTAAATAAAATAGTTATAAAAAAATGCAATCACTATTTATACACTTCGATTTTACATGCTAAATGAAATGATTAAATATTAAATGAAACGATTTTATAATTAAATATTAAATGAAATGATTATTAAAAAAAATGCAACCACTATTTATACATTTGGAGTTTACATGCTAATATAATCATATAAAAATTAAAAAATAAATTATAAATAATTTTTTTTGAGGTATTGATTTTTTTTTCTTTTAAAAAGATATTTAAAAAAAAATAGTGAATTCAACATTGTTGTCACAACACATTACAATAACAAAATAAAAAATATTTATAATTAAACATTAAATGAAATGATTATAAAAAAATTCAACCACTATTTATACATTTGGGGTTGGGGGATTTGGTGATAGCCCCCTCACTATCTAATTTGTCTTTCAAAAGGACAAGAATTATATAAGTACTTTCAAAACCCCCTAATATTTTAAAACTTGTTTCTTTTACTATATTACCCTCATATCTATCAGCTCTCCTATTAAGCCATCTTCACTATATATTTCAGAGTAAAATTTTACTCTGTATGAAAGTAAAATTTTACTCTGTATAAAAGTAAAATTTTACATTCTGAAACTAAAAGTAAAATTTTACTCTGAAAAACTAGTAAAATGTTAGACTCTACACAAAAGTAAAATTTTACTCTGTATAAAAGTAAACTTTTACTCTGAAAAATGAGTAAAATGTTAGACTCTACACAAAAGTAAAATTTTACTCTGGTTCTGTCAAATGAAAAAAAACAGAGCAATAGAATTAGAGTAAAATTTTACTCTGGTTCTGTCAAATGAAATTAGATAAAAAACAACAAAAATAAATCAAAAACAAACAAACAAACAAAAACAAAACAAATTAATCAACAAATCCACATATCTAATTGAAACGAAAAACTTCTAAAACTCGATCAACAATCACACATCTCAATGAAAAAGAATACATGTGTTCAACAACACTCATACACACACATATATATATACATATATTTTACTGTTCCTCATCCACATCCTTCCTAACCTCCTGTTCAACTTCTTTCAATCTCGAAGCTTCAGCCTTCGCATTCAACATCGCCAGCATCTCATCAACAACCTCATCATGTTTCTTCTCCGCTTCTAATTGAGCCATCTCCACCGCACTCCAAATCTCCATCTGCTCCGAAACCCTAGCTTTTGAATCTCCAATGACATCCTCATTCAATTTCAACATACTCAAAGCCACATCGTTGCTGATTATGAAGATGAAAAGAGGACCTTCTGTTGAAGCTTGGAAGACGCGACTATGGCGACGGCTTGTTGACGACCTTTTGCTGAAGCTTGGAAGATGCAACTATGGTGATTATGATACAGTTGATGACGAAGCTGATTACATATGCAGAAGTTGAGGGTATAATAGTCCTATAAAATATTTAAATAATAAATTTTGTCCTTTATGCAAGACTTTATAATTATGAGGGGGTTTAGAAAGTATAATTTTTTTCTTAGTCCTTTTAACAATGAAAGGAAGGTAAAAGGGGTTTATAGCTAAATTTCCCAATGATTAAAACTCAATTTCATACTATTGTTCACAATATGACGTCAAATAATGGTGGAGAATATATTTATGATGTCTTTCAATCTCAACTGAATCAGAAAGATATTCTCCAACAGCTCTCTTGTGCCTATACCCTAGAACAGAGTAGTGCCGCAAAACGTAAGAACCGCCACATTATGTTTGTTGCTCAATGTCTTCTTCGGGGCATGCACATGGCTATTCTTACTGTTGTTTACCTTATTAACAGGACTCCTAGTCGAGTTTTGGATGGTAAGGCCCCTTTCCAAGTACTTTAGCATGGTACTACTTTATTTCCCCTTTTACCACGAGTTTTTCGGTGCACCTGCTTTGTCCAAAATCAGAGTCCTACTAGAACTAACCTATGTATTAATATAATTATAGGTGTTATGATTTTTAGATATTATAAAAAAAATCAATCACTAATTATTATATATAAAATACTAAAAATAAGTACATAGCTCTATATATATATTTAAATTAAAATTATTAAATATATCATATAAATTTTATAGATTTTACAAAATTTAAAGCCTGTGATCATTGTTGGAAAAAAATAAAAATAAAATAAAATAAAATGAACTTTGCCAGTTGTAGACCACAAGGAAAACAAATGCATCTTCCCAAGGTGAAGTCAACGATATACACGATTTGATAAAGAAAGAGGGCTTATCTTCCCCACGAAGCTAAGCTACTGAGCAAACAAAATTTGATAAAGAAAGGCAAGGCAACAGATCAAATTTTGAACTTACTTCGTCTTCCACACAAAGCGGCAGTCACTGGTTTCAACAGCCTTGAAGATTCAACACAGGTTCATCTCTTCCATCTTCCCTCTTCCCTCTTCTCTCTTCTCTCTCTCTATTTCTCACTCATCCGTATTTCAGATCAGATCTGAAAATTTGTGGAATCTCACTTCAATTCAAAGTGGTTTATGGGCTGTAAAGACAACCGACAAAAGCTCCATTATAATAAAGGTGCGTAACGTGCCTTTTCATTTGTTTTTTTTTTAAAAATTTGTGGATGCCCGATACAATATGGAATCTATCTTCAGCCTTTTTCTTTTGTTTTTTTTATGTGAAAAGAATAAGCTAAAGAAGCCCTGTAACGTGCGTAATGGGCCGTTACGGCCGTTACATCACCGTTACGACCGCTACGACGGCCGTAACGGCTGATACACCTGTGAATTTCAATCACACCGCAAAATCGGGGGTAACGTGTAGTGCCTACAGCCAAAACCGTTACGTAACGGCCGAAACCGTTACGTAACACTGCATTTTTAAACCATGCTGTGGTGTCTTGTTTTTGTTTGTCTCCTTTTCGGTTGGTTTCTCATCAACCTGTTGGTTAGAGCTAGCAGATGATTGTGCATTCTCCTTGGTGCCAAC